AAAATACAACAACAACCACTAACAACAATTACTTTCTATTCTTTAAATCATACTCTCTATACTCAAGATTTGTGTTCATCATTTTCATATGCATACTGAAAATTGTTCTTTAGCACTTAGAAGAGTATTCCATCTTAAATTTCATATTGAATATAAAAGATCAATCAAGTGATTGACATTTCTCTTTCATTGTTCAAACTCTTATACAAATCAAACAAACTCTTTCATTGTATCCTTGTTTTCAGGATTGTTGGAAACAAGAAAGACACTTAGGGAGGATTGTTCTCTTTGTGGTCTTAGTGAAAATCCAAGAGGATTGTTCTTGGTCCAAGAGGATTGTTCTTGGTTGTTTGGTAGTCTTTGTACAAATTACCAACTATAAGGAAATCTCTTTCATGTTGAAAGGGGACTGGAGTACTCTCGGACTGTGAGGGGAACCAGGATACATCTCTGTGTTTTTTACTTTCTGCATTTACTGCTTTCATCACTTATCAGAAAAAGAAAGAAAAGAAACTCGTGCAAAAATATTCATACAATTCAGAAAATTTTTTAAAGAACCTAATTCACCCCCCCCTCTTAGGCGCATCTGAAATTACATAAAGTGATTCAACCACTCTACATTGCTGGTACAAAACATTGAAACTTGATTTTCTCACTTTTCTTCAAAATCAAGCAACCTAGCCATAACCCTATAACTCAAAAGTTTGTTGTGCAGAAGTCATCTAACCTCTTTCTTATAACTATACAAGTTGTTTGCAAGCATATATACGAGAAAGAAGACCCTCAAACTCTCCCAAACACCCTGCTGCATAAAATCTGCCCAAACTTGACAGTTTTGAGCAAAAACTCACCATCTCCATTTTCACTCGTGCGTTTTGATTTCTAATCATCCCAACACCTTACATACATCATATGCAAGTGATCCAAATCCTTATTTCAAGACTGTAATCACATTTCTGCCATCCACCATTGTTGAAACTGAAGCTTGCAACTTGACTTGAGTTGGGAGTTTCAGCCATCCTCAAAGCAAAGTAAGAGTTGGAATACATTCAAGGAGGTCCAGGCAAGCTAAAGAAATCATAAGGACATATCAAAGGTTGCTCAAACTCCATACACGAATCCAGCTGCAAGAGGTAAGTTTTCAAACTTCTATCTCTTCATACAAGCATCTTTTGTGCATACATTTTGAAGAAAAAATGTAGACATTGTTGCCCTCAAGTTAACCATGTCCCTAGTTTGCATTATACTTGCTTGTGTTTGGAGAATTTTGCTTCTGACCAGTTAGGGCACGCATTTGGTATCAAACAAAATTAAGTTTAACCTATGATTTTTAGCTTAAATAAATTATATGGTTAAATTGATGGTGAAATTTCCAGCAAGCTTCATGTTTGTATTTTTCAAAAAGGTCAAGAAATGAGATAGTTACAAGGTTAACAATGGTTGATATTGTGTTCTGCGCGCGCATGAAGGAGGAAGAAGATGATTTCAAATATTTAGGACTTGGTTTATTTTATATTTAATGGAAGTTGTTTCATGACCGGATGTACAAGTTACCCCAGTGGCAAGCGCGTGCGTATTAAGTCTTTGCTAACCATAAGGGTGAGGGTTCGAACCAATGTGAACCCCCTTTTGTATTTTTGTGATTTCAGGAAGCAGTTTTCTCATATACGGTCATGCAAACACATAGTTGACAAGCAAACGTGCCTGGCCTAGTGGTAACCTTTTGAGCCAATGATCATGATGTCTTGAGTTCAAACTTTGGCAGGACCAAAACCTTTTTTTACCACTTGTTTGTTTCATTAATTTAATTCTTTTTTAACAAACTTTAGTATTTTATTTAACCAATCAAAACAACTCCTTTTGAGTTGATTTTTTGCACACTATTTATTTATAATACCTATTTTATGAATATAAAAAAATATCATAAAAATATTTTTATTTTCATCATTTTTTAATTAAAGCAAAAACCTTTTCTAAAAAAATCTTAAAAATACTTTCTTTTCTTAATTAGTTTAGGTTTAATTTTATTTATTTTAATTAATATTTCTCTTTTAGATAATTAGGTTAAAGACCATTTTCCTCAAAAATCCAAACAAAAATCTATTTCTTTTCCATTTATATCCTTGTACATTATATTCCTTTTAATTCTTGTACATTATTCAAGTTTCAATATGGTTGTAATAGATAATTAGGTTTAATTTCTTGCAAATCCCCATTTGTAAATTTGTATACCCCATCCCCCTAATGATGTAATAGCGTAGTAACTTTACTTTCCGCAATTTATCGCTTTCATATAAATGCTAGTAATTAGGGTTTGTATGGAAAGATAAAATCAACACGTAGATAACCCTAATAAAATATTAAATGCATACAAATAAAACACATTATTCATACATGCACCCTTAAGATTAACTCCACTTGTTGCCTAAAAAATGGTCATGTTACGCATGTGGGATGTTTTAGAAAAAACAATAAAAAATACAAGATCATAGTCCATCGATGACGCTACAAATGCTGTCTTTCAAATGATCTTAGTCCCTCGAAGAGAAATGCTAAGATATCTCACAACATTGCTATCATGACTATACGACGACCCACGCCCGTCCCTTTACATCCAAAGATAAGGCTTCTTACCAATCAATGGTAAGATAACAATATCAAAGAAAAAGAGGAAATGAACAAAAGAATTTTGAGTAGATAGATTATTCCTAGTTGTTTGCTCACTTTAAAAACAAACATCCTTGCTCACTTTCAAAATATAAAATATTTTCGAAAGTCCAACACTTTGTATACGTTCTTACGAACGAGAACCATTACAAAGTTTGCCTAAACGAAGGTGCCCATTTCAAAAACCACCACAAAGCATATTTTCAAACAAAGTAAGTGATCTAGCAAGCAACTAAGAGCCCATAGATAACTATGGATGAAAAAGGTGCTAACACCTTTCTTTTTCATAATATACCCCCCGAACTCAAGAAATAATCTCAAAGGTCTTTCCTGTTCTTTTCAGTCTTTTTTTTTTGGACAAAAGAAAAGTCGGTGGGGACTCTTGCTAACCGCAACAATTGCGATAAACTCAAAATATCCCAAGTCAGTTCTCCCACCATATTACAGTATGGAACATGATTCTAAATGCGTGTTATGAGCATGACCAATGTATTGTGTTGTTATCGTGAAGTAAATGTAACATACTATTTTGATATGCATATGTTAATTTACTCTGATGATGATATATATTATATGCATAGTTTTAAATGGTGTTACAAAGGGCATCAATTATGGATTGTTCTAGAGAGGTGGCGATGAAGCGGTTGGCCTAGTACGCTCTATTCTGTTCGAGGCACGAAATGCCTTGGGTTATACCGTAGGCAAATGAAGAGTCAGTGTGTTAGGATTAAACATACCCAGTAGACTATATTTTTTATTGTATTTTATTTATTTTTCATCGACTTGGAGAACAATTGTTGTCTTATTATAATCTCTATGATATTCGTTTCAATAACATTCAGTTTTATTGTTATACTGTTATATTCATGTTTGTTTTGAGAGATGTTTTTTATACTCTCTAATTATTTATGTTGTATGCGAGATTATGTGATGGTGGCTTTTAGTGCCTAAGGTTTTATTATATGATTGTCAGTTGGAATTTCAATCATTAGTATTATTTTGAAATGAGAATTATTCCGCTGCGAGATGCATATGTGTTATTGTATGGAACATGATTCTAAATACATGTTATGAGCGTGACCAGTGTATTGTGTTGTTGTCGTGAAGTAAATGTGACACACTCTTTTGATATACATATTAATTTACTCAGATGATGCTATATATTATATGCGGGGTTTTAAATGGTGTTACAAAGGGCATCAATTATGGACTGTTCTAGAGAGGTGGTGATGAAGCGGTTGCCCTAGCACACTCTATTTTGTTCGACACACGAAATACCTTGGAAAAAACGATAATGTTACTCGAATTAAAATTAGTTTGGATTGAAAACACTAAAAATGTTAGTAAACTGACTTTGGAAAAAAGATCCCGACAATAATTCGGAGATACATATCCGAATATATTCCAAAATAGTTCAAACATTCATCTCCGAATATATTTCTTAAGAAATTGGATGGCTGTTTAATTTAGTAGAACGAAAGATGATTTCAGAAGGATAAATTCATAGATCTATTTTTGAACTAAATTTAAACAAAAATTAATATTTAATACATTCACAGATATACCTTAAAATTTATCCAAAAATATTTTTAGATTTTTAGAGATGCGCCCTATTAAATAAGATGCAATGAAAAATTGTCTTAAAAGAAAATACTACAATTTCAATTGTATGGTGGTGAAAAATTGCTGTGTGTCGTGTTTGTTGTAGATGAGGTTGATCCTTAATTCTAAGTAATTTGCGTGCAAATTTAAGTTAAATAAACTACTAGTAATTTAGTAATCAGTACAACAAACCAATTGCTTTATTTTTCTTCTTTATTTTAGCGTTTTCAATTCACTCAAACAATAAAACAGTATCCTATTTCATTCAATTTCGTTTTATTTGTTTTAAAACAAAACTTCAATAATAATCAATGTGAGCGGAAAACATAATTATTTACTTAATTACAACATTAATAAATAAAAAAAGAAAAAAGAAAAACAGTAAAAAAAATCACACTACATATAAATGCTCTAACACGAGATCGTTCTTTTCGTATTTCGTTATCTTCTCCGTCTTGTTCTACGTAACCCTAACTAGGAACCGAACCGCCTCTATCTCATTCTCTTTCGTTTCTTCTCCTAACCCTAATCCCAATTCACCCCAATTTCACATTTTCATCTTCTCCCCAAATCCCAGATCTCAACCACCTCTGAAACCACGTTTCAATTTCAATATACAACGAACCGATTCACGATTTTAGTCGATTCCGTCACTATTTTGATTTGAACCGACGATACAAATTGGAGTTATTACTACTGTTTTTGTTGTTGGTGAATTGTTGTGATTGACAATGGTTGGTGGTGGAAGCAGAAGGGATGATGGTTCGTTGGTAATTAACAACACCAATGTTTTTGCGGCGCTTGATACTTTGAAGAAGAAGAAGAAATCGGATAAGGAGAAAAAGAGTAAGGGTTCTAAATCGGGGAAATTGGAAGCTGAATCTGATTCAAAGCTCTTTTGGGCTCTGGCTCCACTGAATGCAACTTCGTGGGGTGATGTGGATGATGATGATGATGATGATTATTATGCTACCACTGCACCGCCTCAATCTGTTTGGTCTGTTTCTGAGCCTCAGCGAAGTGAGGATAAACAAGAAAATTTCGAGGTATGTTGTTGTTGATTGTTTATTCATACATTGATATTATTTTTGGGTGCATTGCTTATATTGTTGATGACTATTGATATCTAGGGTAGTTTGAGTAGTTTGAGTAGTTTTCATCATTATGTTTTATAGAATCTGTTTATTACTAAATGTTTATATATAACTTGATTTACAATTGAAAAGGGAATAAAGTGAAATTCTGCACGACTCATGTATAAGATGTTTCTGCAATTTTTTTGGTAGTTTATGAATATAAGTTGAAAATATGTTATAGGTATTTCATAAGATATACCCTTAAACTCTTCGAATATTTATCATAATGCTTATTATATCAAGTAAAGTTTTAATGAATATTTTTCACCAAGGATGTGTTTGCGTGATACATTTCCTTTACGCGCACAGTTGGCTTTGGTTATGACTATTCTTATTAGGATACCTGAATCTTGATGGTTTCATCAAGGTAGTATTTTTCTCTTTGGGAAGATAATATGGTTTTGTTTAGTTTGTTCTATTTGGTTTGTTCTAGTGCTATTGGCAATTAGAGTTCATTTGAGTGATGATGATAAACTTTGGACTGTATATAACATGTTTATTTTTTATTTTCTATGTGCTAAATGCCAGTGATATAAGTATGCAATGATTTGCCTGTGTGTTTTCTTGGTGTGCTTTTGTTTGTTCTAGTGCTATATATTGGCAATTAGAGTTCCTTTGAGTGATAATGATGAACTTTGGATTGTCTATCATGTGTTTTTCTTATTTGCTAAATGCCGGTGATATAAGTATGCAGTGATTTCGCTATGTGTTTTCTTGGTGTGATTTTGTTTGTTCTGGTGCTATATATTGGCAATTAGAGTTAGTTTGAGTTATAATGATAAACTTTGGACTGTCTATCATGTGTTTTTCTTATTTGCTAAATGCCGGTCATATAAGTATGCAGTGATTTGGCTATGTGTTTTCTTGGTGTGATTTTGTTTGTTCTGGTGCTATATATTGGCAATTAGAGTCCGTTTGAGTTATAATGATAAACTTTGAACTGTCTATCACATGTTTTTTTTATGTACTAAATGCCAGTGATACAAGCTTATGTGTTTTCTTGGTGTGGTTTATTGCTTTATATGGTTTGATAAATCTTATGTTGTTCCAAATTTGATACTTAACAATTTTTAACAGGAGACTGAGAGTGAGGAAGATATTTTAGACGAAGGGGATGAGGAGGAGGAAGAGCAAGATCATGAACCAGAACCAGAGCATGATGTAAAACCTGAACCTGAGCTTAAGAAGCATGCTGAAGTTCATGTGGTACCAAAGGAGGCAGAACGACAACTCTCCAGAAAGAAAAGAAAGAAAAAGGAACTTGAAGAGCTTGAGGCTCTTCTAGCTGATTTTGAAGTTGCACCGAAGGAAAGCAATGGTGGTCAAGGTCAAGATAAGTCACAAGGTAGTTTATTTAGAGCTGCTTGGTTCATTATTGCAGGGTTACTGTTTATTTTTGTGAGTCCACGTTATTGATTTGCTGTTGCTCATGACTTTTTTCTACACTATTGGTCTTTCCCCATTTGGATATTTCTCACTTTTGTTCAAAGATCAACCTCCATTTTTTTTGCTGACAGGTTTTCTGTGTCAACTATGAGTTGTTGTATTCAAGCATTTATAGTTTTTTTTCCCTAAGAGAAGAATAATATGTGTGCATATCTAAGATGCAATCACTCCATGAAAGCTTATTGATGATTTCTTCAAATTGAAAATTTGTATTCGCAGGCGCATCCCATGATAAGAAAGGGGTTGATGGAGATGTAGATGGCGAAAAGAAAGAAATTGTTCCAGAGTCCAAGAATGAGAAAAAGAAGAAAAAGAAGGATAAAGCTTCCAAGGAGGCAAAAGAATCCAATGGTCAGCCCAACAACTCAGAAACAAACAACAGGCCTGATACATGCACTGAAAATGCAGAGGAGGATCCATCTGTGATTGTAGAGCCCACTAATGAAGAAGACGTTCCTTACACGGTTCTTTATCCTTACATGCCTACTGATCTTCGGGCATTGAAGAGGTCTTGGATTCAGCTAAAAGAAGAAAGGAATACTATCCGGGAGAAGTATTATGAGCAAGAAAGGAAGATTTTGAAGCTCACCAGGCAGCTCGAGGAAGTAAGAACAATCAATGAATACATTAGCACAAAGGGGAAGCGTCCATGGGATTTTTGATGTTTTTGCTCTTCTAGTTTTAGATTTGTTTTTCATTTACTTCTTTGTAACGCCTTCAAGGCATTGTTAAACCTTTTACAAGTTAATTTAATAAAGTTTGTTTATTTTTAGTTTGCAAATTTAAATCTCCCAAAGTCTTTGAAATCATTACATACGCATCCCATTATCATGCACATCATTACATGTACCATTACAAGTTTCTCATCTCCTTCGCTGTTTATTTCAGTTGAAATGTCTTCTGATCAAGCCATCAAAGATCTCCAGGCACAGAACGCCCAATTCCAAGAGATTTTCTTGAGCTTGGCTAAAGGGCAAGAGGATTTGAAGACTCTCATTCTGAAGGAGAAGAAGAAGAAGAAGATGGTTCTCCTGAGTATGGGCAAAAGGTTTGGGAATAGGTTGCAACAGCAAGTTGATCTGATTTGAGGGATGTAGGGTTGAACGAAGACGATTGGATCCAGACTCGACTTGATCAACTGAATTTGATTGATGAAAAGAGACTTACCGATGTTTGTCATGGTCAAATGTATCAAAAACGGATGATCAAGGCTTTCAACAAGAAAGTCAGACGCCAAGTATATCAAGTTGGGGATCTAGTAATCAAGCGCATTATACTGCCGCAAAGTGATCCTAGAGGCAAATGGACTCCTACCTATGAAGGATCATTTGTAATAAAAAGCACAAAGTGATCTCAGGGTCAAATGGACTCTTACCTATGAAGGATCATTTGTAATAAAAAACATATTCTCCAATGATCTTAACCACCATGGATGGCGACGACCTGCCACACCCTGCGAACGCAGACATAGTCAAAAGATGATACGCATAAGAGACCCGCTAGGTTGACATACCTAGGCAAAACAAGGACATCCCGGCGAACCAAAAGGGTTCGGGCAAAAGTTAGGGATAAAACAAAAAAATCTGTACACCCGACAAGTTGAAACTCGAAAGGGCGACTTGGGCAAAAAAGGGTTTCCCGGTGGACTGAAAATCTAAAAGGGCAGTCCAGGAAAAAGTTAGGGAATCAAGGCGTACGACTATGTCTCGTCAGATCACTTTACAAACAATCTTCGGTTTCCACTTACAAACTCAGAGGTTCTGATCAATTCAATCATCTCTAGACGAGACAACAAATAGACAGGATACTCGGAGATACGAAAGCTATAGCCGAATGGAAACCCCATGGGATTTTTATACACATAGATATCTTTTCTTTGTATCAAAATTTTCATTTTTTTTATGACAACATTCTCTTACTAGAATGTTTGTCCCCTTGTACAAAAAATACTTATTCAAAGTCAATACAAAATATTCCTTTGAAAGTGCAAAAATTATTTGTCTTTTCTTTTACGCTTGTTTTGTTTACAAAAACGTCCAATGATTCATTGTTGAACATATGCATTTGAATATAATTACTGTTTACGAATAAACAAAATGAAAAGAGGTCATTACTGATAGGTTGAAAAGATAGTAAAATATCTCTAGACCATTCCATAAGTAATCCCCTGCAGTACGTCATTTAAATCTCCAGTGGAACAAAGTTTCAAATTGTTAATCCCCAGTAGAAGTTGTCAAAATATCTCAGGACACCAACAGGCTTTACAAGCAGTACTTGGCATTGCCCTTACACATAATTTATTTCTCTCGGCAGAAATCCATCAATACTTCAACTTCAAGACGTGAAGACTTCCATATCCTCAACAACAGTCAAAGATTTATTTTCCCTAAATCAAACAACAATGCAGTAGATTAGATCACATACACATATATTGCATCCATATATCATAAACATTGATAAAGCAAATACATTGCATCATACAACATAACTTTGTATTTTAGCTAACATTTTACCCTTTTCAGGATAATATTAACAACTACCGTTAACAATATGCAATCTTGATACAATTCAGATACGCTCCAGATACGGATGCCATTCTAATACTCATTCATATGCAACTTTCAGATACAGTAGAGATACGCTCCAAACACGGACGCCATTCTGATACTCATTCAGATGCAACTTTTAGATACAGTTCAGATACGCTCCAGACACGGATGTCATTCTGATACTCGGGCAAAATCCGCTTCCAGATACAGTTCAGATACGCTCTAGACACGGATGCCATTCTGATACTCAGTCAAAATCAGCTCCCAAATACAGTTCAGATACGTTCTAAATACGGACGCCATTCTGATACTCATTCTTTCAGCTTACAAGTTACAATTCAACAAACATTCTTGGATGACATCTACAAGCCCATATCCAACAAAATTCTATCACCTCTCCAAATGGCATCCTTAAGCCCATTATTTCTATCGTCGCATCTCCGAGTGCAAATTTCTGGGTACTCTAGTGTCCAATCATCTTCCACCTTCAAGTCACGAATGGAAAAACTCACCAGTCTAACTCTTCAGGTTTAAGAATATTGAGCAGTGGCAGCTGTTGTACCCCAAAATTTGCCCTCTCATTATCAAGGATTTCCTCACAAGATCTCTTGGACTCAAGACTGGATTAGGGTTTGAACAGCTCAAGACATCTCATCATGCACTGATAACCCAAAATTAGGGTTTGGGATTGCACAAAGATTTTTGGACTATCAATGTTTCATATTACTTTCAAGGACAATTATGGACCGCTAAGATTACTCATGTCAAGTTTCAAGCCTTGAATCATATTTTTGATCAGTCAATTGGACGTTGACCTAAAAATCAGTTGTATTAGGGAAAAAGTCAACCATGGCCAATTTACAGTCAAACTTCATGATTTTTGATCCAGATTAACATCTTAGACTCATAGGTATCATTTGAACAAGTTTGGACCATAATTCCTCAAGAAAATTGATCAAATCATCAAAAGGGCAAAATGGTCAAAATTAGGGTTTTGATTGAGAAAGGGCAATTTCTAATTTTTAACCTAGTAAATGATCAATTGGTTTGAAGCATGATTTCAAGAGTCCAATTTCATCATCTTGACATAATGACATGGTTCAAAATATTGCAAAGTCATTGGATTGACAGATGAATTTTCCAGTCAACTGATCAAAAGTCAATTGTACACTGAAAAGTCAAACTTTGACTTTTTGGTCAAATTCAAGTGCCAAAGATCATAATTCATAAAAACATGTAAAAATGTGAAACTTGTTCATCAAGAAATCAAGGATTGAAGATTTTGTTTTGAAATTTGAAATTTCTTAACTTGGAAAATTTTCTAAGTATAGAAAATTTCTTATTTTTTCTCAACTTCAAGCCAAATTTTAACCATGATACAAGATGATTCAAAGAAAGTTCCTAACATGAAAGTTGTAGATATCCATGAAATCTACAACTTTTCTTCACACAATTTCTCCTAAAGATGCTTGGATCTCAAGATATAATTTTGTGAATACATTCTCATGAACTAAAATAACTTAGTAAAATTTTGCCCTAGTTAGGCAGGTTTTTGACTCAACTTCATGCTAATTTTTCACATAGTTACAAGGTGAATCTTTGAAAGCAATTCAAATATGAGTTATAGAGCACATTTCAAGCTTTCCAAATTGTCCAATAACTCATTGATATCATTCTTGAGTAGGGAGAATCGAAGAGTTGAAGTTGGCAATTTCTCACTTTGATTTCAAGCCATTTCACGAAGAATAAAAATTCAAATCCTCAAGCATGATGTATAATATTCACTTTTCAGGCCTCAAACTCGTTTGTCACTCCATAATTAATGGATTGCATAAGATTTCATGCCATAAAGCCAAGCATTCAATGTATTGTACAAGAAAATAACCATTTATGGAAGAAAGACAACATTGCCATTTTGGAAAAGCGATGTTTTTTGCATTTTTCCATTTCTTGAGCCTTGGACTCGTTCTTTCTGCACAAACCAAGCCTTTAAACCTGAACAAAACATGTTTAAACTTCACACCACCCTACAAGATCAGAACCATGCATTAAGAAGTCATTTCTCACACTTGCTTCAAAAACAAGAAATGTAGCAAGACATGTGATCTTGTACTTCTGAGCAAGCATAAGTCCTCCAATCTTTTGCTCTATATAAATCCATTATTTTGCAACTAAAACGAAGAATGCCCAAGCCTTGAAACACCCTAGAATCAGAAATTGCATACCAAGCCTCCAAACTTGCCATTCCTGACTTGTGAACTGAATCTTCCATTCCACTCGTGCGTTTTCAGGCCTTTTGCTTTCCTAAGCTTCCTTACCTTACAAGTAAACCATCACACACCCTGAAACATCACTATAAATCCATCTTCCCCATTGTTGAAGTTCAAACACAGAGTAATACAGGTGGACTTCTCCAGATCATTCCAGCCACCCTCAAGACAAGCTAAGCATTGAATTAGCTTCCTAGAGGTTCAAAGAAGCTAACCTGATCATCACATCATCCTAAAGCAAGCTCATTTTCAAAACACGATTTCCATTTTCAAGGTGAGTTTTCTATTTTTCTATCTCTTGATACAGGCATAGTTAGATTTCCATTTGTGAATATAAAATGTAGACATCATTGTTACGAAGCTGTACATATCCATAACTTGCATTTATTTGGCCTGAATTTAGAGAATTTTAAGTTTGAAGTTTTTGAAAAAATTAGGTTAAGAATTAGGGCCAACAAAATTCTCTCTGATCTTGGACTTATAGTTTTAGTTATGCACATGGTTAGAATCGTGAAGTAAAATGCTATAATGTTCATGTTATCACTTTCTATATTTGCTGAGAGATGAAAGAGTTACAGGGGGTCTGGTTGGCTAGAGGTTGAAGATGAAGTACAGGGCAAGGTAACATTTTGCGTTATGTATTTGTGTTTTCATTTGAGCTAACGGATGTACAGCCACCCCAGTGGCAAGGCAGCATGCAGAAATGCCTTAGGTCACGGGTTCGAGCCTTGGTGCCTGCCTTTTGCATTTTTCATAGTTTTCCACTTTTTTTTTGTTGTTTGCAGCATGGGCTTCTGGACAATTGGGCTTTATATTTTTGCTAGCTTCCTGCCTCTAGTTTAC